TGACCTTATTATTGCATCGTGTTTTTGATCTGAGTTTGTTTTACAGAATGAAATGTCGGAATGAGTGCTCATTTAAGACTGGTGATTCCATACTTTTTGCCAGGGGTTGTACAACAGGATAATGTGAAAACAAGAGACAAGAACAATCTGTTGTGAGCCCCTCACCATGTTTTGTCAAGCATAAGGTGGTGCAGAATGCCTTTTACTGCTATGATTTTACTAGGTGATGTAATTATTCTAGCCAGACCAGATATGTGCGTGATACGTGACTGTAATTTACATGTCTACTTCATCTAACCACATCTCTGCTACCATTGTATACAGTTAACTTTACTTAGAGTAGTAGCKTAAGCGTATACAGCAGGGCTATTCAACAACATTGCTCCCGGGGCCACAGTTAATGCAGGTCAACAGCACAGGGGCCGAACATCCAGCAATTTAAAGTTATGTAAATAAACCAAGTATTACATGGATCTTTTTACCTCTGAAATAGTTTATTTTGCTGTATTTAATCATGAATACAACATACAGAACCYTATAAAAGTAGTGATAATTAAACAATATCAAAAACAAAGAAAACACATTATGCCTCCTATTTGACAAAAACTGTTGTTTTGAYATCTCTGTCTTGCCAAATTTTTATATCAATATCTTAATTTTAACTGTCTTTTTACTTATTTATGTTTTTACTGAAAAACATTGAACAATATGTTTGAAACAGTGCAAACCTGTTTGAATTGGACAATAGCCCTCTCTCTTAGAGCAAAGTGGACAATGGGTGATTTTTAGACTTTTGCATGGGTAGATAAAATTGATGGATAAGATCGGCTTTCTCATGTATCAGCCGATTGCCCATCACCAAATATTTATAGAAATCAGGGCAAATATCTCGGCACAGCCCTAATTTTAACTCAAAAAAAAATCTTTAGATTTTTTTATTCTAATGGATAATAGAAAAGATCTTGTTTTTGTACCAACCTTACCTCCATTGTCCACCTGCATCTATAATATCCCAACACACTTGGAGAGCTTCTTGTAAAACCGACTCTCACAGATTCACTGTACTGTTGCTTTTGTATTCTGCTGTCAAATAATAGACTTGACAACAAAACGTTACTTAAGTAAAAAAAAAAAAAAAAAAGAATGTTATTTTTGTGTGCAGCCAGTAAGCCAACTAAAACATGTATTCTTTGCACAATCACATTAAAAGCCCATTCTTAGTGGCACTGTGTAAAAAAAAATTCCATTGAGTAACTGTAGAACTGTTCAGGTGATTAAAAAGTGGTTTTCATAAATATTTCTAATATTTGTAAACTGCTCATTTTTCCTGCTGTCAGTTTCAGACTATAATAGTATCAACAACCCTCAGATTTTCTGCTAAATATTTATGTAAATTAATGTTGTAACCCGAAGGTTTTGCTCTTCTTTTGCCCACTGAGATTGAGTTTCCCAATCCTGTTGGTTCCACGATCAGCTCAGATAAAGACTGTGAAATTAGTTGTTATTGTGTGACTCACTCTGTGTGTGTGTGTGTGTGTGTGTGTGTGTGTGTGCATGCTTAGATATGAACCTGAGTGTATGCTGACAATAACATTGCCCTCTATTAACTGGGTAATAAGATGAGCATCACCAGCTGTTTCTCATAATATGACTCGTTTATTTCTGATGATGTTTAAATGACAGATCCAAGTTTGTGTAAAGAAAATAAAGTAAGGTCATTTGCACAAATGTGTTTCTTAATGTAGTTTTGGAAAATATGCAAATGAAGCAGGAGGGGGCCGATAATATGAGATAAATGAGGGTTGCTCTTGTTTTGCTCTAAGGCTCCCTCTATGAACTTCCTTTTTTTTGCCAGGAGCCAAAAGGCAAATATACGGTTGCTTGTGGGTGCATATGTGTTTGTTAGCAAAATATCTCACGAAAAACTGGAAAAATTTAATGAAGCGGGCAGCAAAAAAACAAGTGGCTGTTTTTGGCATCCACTCTGTTCAAGATGGTTGTCAAATCTAATGAACATTAACAAAAATTATGTCGCAAAACATCACAACTTCATACATAACAGTATTTTCAAGAAATGCCTTGAAATTGGCCTCTGTCTCTTTAAAAACTTATTACCATTTCAGACACTCCCACTTCAGCATGTTTTCACAACAATGCTTCGGGGGCAGGGGTGCTCTGTGGGGTGGGAGCTCGGCGGTGCACTGAGCTCCAGGGAGGAGCTTTGTGTAAATAGGCGGTGCTTTGTACCAGCAAGCGTTTAGGCAGCTCCACATGGCTACCGCAGGAGATTCAAGGATTTCTCTAACATGCACGAATGAGTCAAAGCAACACTGGATCTTTATTTTTTTTATTTTTTTGTTGAGAGAATGACATTATAACATGATATAAAGCTAAAAAAAGTCAATAACCACCCTTTCCGAGCTGCTATTCCTTTAATTAGTCTCAGGAAGGAACATCCGAGCTGGCAGAGATAATGTCAGCGATACATCCTCTGTTAAGCACATGTGGTGGAGGAGAGCCAGTTGTCCTGAGTGAGGTTGTTTGAATTCCCTCCAAGCGCTGCTTGACTCAAAGACTGAGAGCCTGAAAGGATAAGTGGCTTTTGTTGAAGCACCCAAGAAYGGACTCAAAGTGAAGGGCGGCGGGTGCACTGTGTGTAATGTGTGTGCATTTTGGCTCCAGGATCCTTTTGGTTTTAGATAGATGAAGCAGGAAGTGGAAGGGGAAACAGAAATAGTCTATTGGTGCCTTTATCCTTCAGGCCATGACACGGGGAAGAAAATGATAAAAATGTCATTTACACACAAAAATACACGATAACTTGATGTTGAATATCTGCATAAAAAACGTCTGTGTGTTGCCAAGCACAGATTGTTAAATAGTCTGCATGCAACATTTTGCTATTACTTTAAGGAAAACAAACTCCTTTAATGGGAAGCTAACATTGTAGCATTTTTTTTWAATTTTGCTTTGAAATCTTTCAGGCTGTCAGTTTTGAATAAATGTGGTCCACTGAGRAAGCATCCTTAGTCAACGGGTGTCAGTCACAGTACATCTGAGAAAAAGGTTCTTCTCTAAAACTCTCCGTAGAGCAGCACACTCCGTCATATTACATGTTTTTTTTAGATAATGGTTGTTTGTTGTTCTACTTCTCCCTCACTCTCTGTACTCCTCTGGGTTTGCGCGTCTCTCATTCTTTGTCTTTTTTTATTCTGTCGTGTTTGCACGGGGGATACATAACAATGAGAACACACGCTGCGTGAGCAAACACAATCACCAGGAACCCAAAGAACTTTGGAAAATGCACAGCGGCTGCACTGCAGTCGTTTCACTGTGCCCACTGAAGGTTAACAAGGTGGTGTGGATCTAGCTGTTGATGGTTGTATTGAAGGAAAACTGGCTGTGATTACAGTGTTTGAGATGCTTTTGATGATAATCAGTGGYTTACTCTCTCTCTCTCTTTCTTTAGGCCAGTGGGCCCCGGTGGTGCAGCTGAGAAAATGGACAGGATGAAGATAATCAAGCGGAGGCTGTCCATGACTCTACGCAGCGCTCGGCCCGTCGATGACTCCCTGTCTGAACTGGCAGAACAGATCGCTTTGGATGAGCCATCCACTGCAAGGGACAACGGTGAGCTGTGTGCACTGTCACACATACAGCACATACAAACACCTCAGCAGACACCATCACACTGGCACACAGTAAGTGTGAAGGGAACTATTTGCAGCTTCTGTGTTAGTAAAATGCCATTCTAATAGAATTGAAAAACAGCATTTTGTCAGTGCAATGGCACGCTAGAGGTTGCACAAATATAATCTTGTAGATGCATTTCCTAAAACAGGATTTCATTCTATAGACTTATTTCATGTGAAACATTTTGACTTACAATAGTTGAGCAAACACAAGTGCATTAATTAGGACTGTAGTCCAACAAGAGGAAGTTCTAATTTAACATTTTGTGAAGAAGAACCAGTTTGCACAGCTGCAGAAGTGGAAAGCAGTCGTTGCGTTTTATCAGCGCAGTGGCACTCATTTCACACGTGCTTGTTCTACTTATTCAAATTAAATCTGCCATTAGATTTGTTTATTCTAAAGTTGATAGATGAAGATAATTCAGAAGTTATGAGGCTAACAAAGTGCTAGCACTTAGTAAACTTTTACTATCATTACTAACTACAATGATACACTCATAATTGGTTGAGTTTGACAACATTTCTTAATTTTTTCTCAAGAACCTGCCTATATGAATTCATCTAAGCAGAATTCTTTTATGCATAGTTGTAGCTATTTTGGTCAAATCTTAAACATTACGGGCAATATCTTGTGCCATATTTTGATATCTCCCAAGAGGTGTTTGTGTTCGGTGTGTGTGCTGGGGATTAGGGCTGGGTAAATAAATAAAAAAAAAATTAATGAATCGATCTTGGATAGATTTAATTTAAATTTTGCAACATGGATTCATAGGATATGAG